GACTTGTTTTATAAGACAGTATGGTTGCATAACTGCTCATGCATTATTTAAACTACAGGTAAGTGCCACAGACATGCTATAAAAAGTTTATTTTATTTAGTGATAACGGCTGCAGCTGCAGGACAATAGTGAGAGGATAAAGGAGAAAAACTTCTGGCTTATAAACTGTTCTTAAATTTTATTCACAAGAATTGCAATTTATCCAACTACTTTAAACATTTTTGAGTGAAAAATAAATTTTAAAAAGCCAACTTTTAATTTCAAACACATCTTCATGAACGCAAGAAGCCATTAAAGATGAGTGGAGCTGCTCATGTGGAGATGATTTAGTTTGGATCTGTGGTTCCAGTCTCATGAGAAGTCGTCATTGGGAACAGATTTTTTGGAGAGCACATCCTTTTATGTGCTCGGTCAGGAAGTGAGCAGCTCCAGCAAAATTAGGATGTTGTGTAAAATGTGCAATTATTTTTAAATCGCATAAACACATTTTTTATTCATGGGACACAGTAAGCATATCAAATGTCTAAATTCAGAAATGTTACGTTTTTAGACGAAACAGTGTAATTAACATGATGGCAGCAACATATAGCTCATGTTGAATCTCTCAGAAGTAAATATGGGCAGAGGTTCAGCAGTCTGTGAAAAACTGTTGAAAAGTAATGAAACAATTTCAAAATCAAAGTTCATGCTCAATAATCCAGGTAAAAAATCCAGCACAGTTAAGTCAGGTCCTCTGGACGGTTTCTTCTTGTTGAAACGTTTCGTCTTTCATCCAAAAGACTTCATCAGTCCCAGGAGCCACAACAAACTGAAGAAGTCTTTGGGATGAAAGACGAAACGTTTCAACAAAAAGAACCGTCCAGAGGACCTTGTGTTGGATTTCAAAATCAAGTTCCTTAATGAAAGACTTCAAATCTCCCATCATCTCCAGTTCATAATCTCATCAGAAGATTAGAAGAATCTGTAGAAATCTGAGCTCAAAGGACGAGGCTGAAGGTCAGCATTGAATGGTCATGATCTTCAGGGGCCACTGCATTAAAACCAGGTCTGGTTCCGTTCTGGGCTCAGGAACACTTCCACAGATCATCCACAGATGCTGCTTAAAGCTCTATCAGGCAAAGAACAAGCCAGTTGTGAACACCGTCCAGAGCCACTGCCATCTTCTCTGCACGGACCAAATCCTTTGTACTAGACCATCCAGCCTGCTATCAACACACAGTTCAAAAGCCTGCTTCTCTGATGGTATAGGGGTGCATTACTGCCTCTGGCACATGCAGCTTACACAACTGGAAAGGCTTCATCCATGCAGAAAAGTATCTACAGGTTTTTGTGACATAAACCAAAATTTTGCACAGATCTAAAATGTCATCTACCGTAATAGTTTATTTAACTCTGCTGTGCTGTATTGAACGTCGCTCCACTATCGTTCGGTGTTAATGGTTCATTACATTCTGGATAATCATTGAAGCTGATCCAAACGTGAAAGCCCAGACTTGTCTGTGGACATCAGAATCTAACGATAATGAGGTGCGGTGGGAATACTGGAGATTACCTCAGAACCACACCCTGAAATTATTTAACTCACACGCAAAGAAAATTCTCTTCATTTACATTTTTTGTATGATTTTTTGAACAAGGCAGAAACACAAATTCCTCAACCTGCAAGAAAACATCATTTTTCCAGAGATGGAGTTCGGGCTCAAACATTTTACTGTTACAGCCGACGTTCAGCAGAGTTTTCAAACTGAAAACTTGTTGGTGTCGTTTTAAACGAGGGAGAGCAGAGCTGGAAAGCTGCCTAGGCAGAGGTATGTTGGAGTTGAAGTGCAGGCAAAGGCGTGCTCTTGAATGTCACATGCCGAGGGGAATAACACGATGGTTAGGTGGGACTGGCCAAGATTTTTTTTCTCAGAGAAAATGCCAGAGTCGTTTATTACCTTTATGATTCACCAACTGCAAGTCAAACTCTACGAGTTCAAGCTGCAGCTCTTCTGTGTCGCAAAACTGTTCCTGCTCCAAATCATCTGCACCAATGACACCTGAGCTGAAGAAAACCACCTGTTTGTTATAATACATTACAAAATCTGCACCTTTCTATTAAACTTTCCCTTCTGCATGCTCATACACACATCTGGCAATCCCCCCCGACACACAAAGAAACACCCATATTCCACATTCCTCAGTCACTGCAGAGGACTTTCAAACTGAGAAACAAGGAGACCATCTAAAGTCTTCATGGACCTGAAAATGCACTTCTAAAACTATGAAACGATTTTCCAGAAGCTACAAATTCAGGATGTGCTGTCACTCTTCTGTCAGGACTGCAACATTAAAAGACACAGTACTAAAAATGTCACCTGTCTGCTAAGTTTTTCAGTAAACAGCGGCAATGTTCTCTTTTTGGAGATCCTCAGGGTTTTATGCTCGGTCCTGTAACATTCTCCTAGTATATGCTCCCCTTAGGCTCTATCTTAAAGAAAGCTTTACACCTCTTTATGCAGGCGACGCTCTGATTTACCTACAAATGAGATGCAATGATCTGTTTTGGCTGAACTGCTGCTTCGGTCTTTTCAGAGATCAACTACTGGATGGTTTTATTTACAATATAGCTGGATTGATGTTGTTTGGACCCAGTGTATCTTCTTTACACTCTCATATGGATCTGGGAGGCTTGTTATTTAACAAAAGACATGGAATACAGATTGTAAGTTTGAAAAACACTAAATTTAGTGGCTAAAAATCATTTTTTAATAAAAAAAAACTGAAGTTTTTATTAAGGACCAGAATTGTTCATTCTTTGTAACATTTTTTAAAGGGTTTCATGCTCATCATATTTAAAATTGTGTTTAGTATTAGTGTCTGCTGTAGCTGCCTTGGTCTGTGTGAGTGTGTTCATTTGTTTGTACAATCAGCTCATTATCTTATGAACTGGGTTTTAATGGAGCAAATTCAATTGAAGGCGGCCAAGGGACTTTAATAAACAACAAACTATGGCCATAACTCAGTCAGTTCTACATGTATCGTGCTGAAATATGGTGCGGTAGTAGTGGAGACTGTGCTCTAACAGATCACAAAAGGTGTTCCTGTCTTTTTAAAGGATCCCCTTCATGGCTTCAGTTGGTCCAGGATGCTGCAGCTCATCTTTCAACACAAACACGACAGAATGAGCACATTTAACCTGGGAATGTATCAAACAACTGAGGTAGGTGTCGACTTAGACATCATTGTTCTTGGAAAACAGTTTATGATTTGGTTTATTTGTCTTCACATGTGCAGTTTGAAACATATTTTGATGTGTGCTTTGTTCTGAACCATTTTTAAAAAAACGGTACAAGTCTTTTATTTGCATCATTTTCTGTCTGTTGTATTTTTGTCGGTGGCAGGACCAGTGAAACTGCTCATGTCGTTATTAATAAAATGCTATTTTCTTTTTACAGTAAATCCATGTTTTGATCGTCTGGTTCAGACCTGCAGCCTGTCGGGTCTCCAATAAAACTATTAATGTGACATTTATCATATTAGTGGGTTAACAAGACTAGAGATCTGCAGATAGTTTAGTCTTTTGAGGCACAGAGAAACTTTTTTTTCTGCAAGTTATTGAGTCTAACTTGTCAACAGAACATTTGTGTTGTGTTGTGGTCTGGAATGACTTTTCTGTGAAACCAAAAATCCTCTCATGCAGCAAAACACGCACACCCCAGAAAAGCTGAGCATTAAGACCTACTGTTTGTTTTTTTGTCCTTCATCCCCATTTGTTCATGACTCTGGTTTCAGAGTTGACTCCGAGTCTGAAAGTCTCCAGGATGTCAGCACATTTCAGTCTTTGCAGGAGGGCCGGCCTGTGTGCAGGCACACAAAGACGCCACTGTCCATGACCCTGGCTTTAAAGGAAACACTGCTCTGTGTGTTTTGGTCAAATCTCTTCATGAGTTCAGGGGCTTTAAACTGATCTGGGTTTCACCAAAGTGATCAGCACAGCACTAAGAAGATGACATGAGGTGACTTCTACAAGCCGTTTGTGCTGCTTGGCTTAACGTCTCCTTTCATGTGTGTGAACAGAAATAGTTGGACAAGTCTGATCAGATGGAAATCAGGAAACTTTCTGTGTTCAAACTGTAATTTGGAACATCTCAGAGAAAGTTAATGAGATACACTCATTTAGGATCTGCTGTCAAACTTGTTTCTGCTGCGAGTCCCAACAACCTGCTGCAGGCGAGTTTTAACTGTGTGTGTGTGTGTGCGTGCGTTATCTGTCCTTTCAGCAGTTTGCCTCGAAGCTCTGCCATCTTTACAGCAGTTCAGGTGATTCTGCTTTCCATCACAGAACTGGTCTGATGTCAGAACAAACCCATCAGCTGTTCCGTTGGACAAGAAAATAAACATTTAAACAGTTTTGTTTGATTTTTCAATCTTTTAAGCATTTGTACTTAATTTATGTTTACTATACTCATCAGTCTGACAGCCAAATGAAAGAACAAAAAGCAGATGGACTCGTACTGAAAGAATAAAGAGGTATTTCAGCTCTTTAGGTAAATTTGTGAAAATGTTTTTTTCTCTAATATTGTAAAAAAAAAAAAACCATTAACTTCAAAATGTCGTTTACATAAAAGCCATTGCTTCCAAATAATGTGCACTTTTTGCTAAGTTATCCATACTTAATAAACTCAAAATATTTTCCAAAATATTCTTGATACTTTCCCAAATGCGTGCAGCTCCAGATCGTTTGTTTTATTTAAATATTACACTTTCCTAATTGTCGTCAGGTTGCCAGATGTTGTTTGAAACAGGTAAAAAATACTCTAAAAGAGTCTCACTTGTGCAACTTTTCCTAAATCTCCTCTCTGTGAGGACTGAAGTTCAACTTCCACAGTCAGCTTCATATTCAGCTGAGCTCCTTGGGAGTGGCAGAAGCCTTCTGGCTGAGTGGAGACGAGGGGGCGTGGTCTGCCGCCTCCCAAAGCGCACCTGCAGTGCGTGCGCGCCGCGCGGGCTGCAGTCTGAGCAGAGGCTCAGCTGGAGGGAGAAGCTTCTTGCTGAGGCTCCCCTTCCCCAGCCACCATGAGCGCGTACGGCTCCCAGCAGCAGCTCAACGCGCGCAGGGCCGGCTCCAGGAGCGACCTGGCCGGGGCCGGCACCTATTACGCACGGAGCGACGTGGCGCAAGGAGGCGGGAGCGCGTACGACAATCTCGTGGAAGGACACAGAACCTATTCGGTTTCTAGGACCATGCCCAGAGGGTCAGTGACGAGGTGAGGGATTATTGGTTTTCTGTGTGCACGTTTAGTGTCGCGCCTGAAGTTTGAGAAGCTGCAGGACTTGCAGGCGCTTCTGCTTTTATAAACCTGCTCTGAGCTCTGTCCTCTGAAGAAGCTGGTGCATGCCAGATGTTTAACTAAAACCATCTCAAATCCAGCTGAAGCTGCAAACACTTAAAATAAAATTTGAAATAGTGCTGATTTCTGTGGGAGTTCCCCCCTCATCATTAAATGCAACAGTTATTGTTACAGGGAGATAATGAAACAAAGCTGCAGAGAAATGAGAGGTTTATCCCTCCTAACGGTGACTTGTAAGTTGTTCTAAATCATCCGTGCACAGCAGCTCTCTGCCCCGGGAGACGTGCATGATTTATGAGCAGAACTGAACTTTTGAGCTCAGTGTTGCAACATCTCAGTCACTCTTCATTCCTGAGCCAGTTTCAGAGCCTGCAGAAAGAAGAAACGTGTCACGCGCTGAACACCAGATGTTTGACAATAAGGTGGTGAATCCTGCAGCATTAGGAGAAGCTCCTTCTCTGACCTCTATAGTTGGGATGCTTGTAAAATCTAATTATGCATATACTTTTTATTAGCTCCCTTGTTGTTGTCACTGCTTGCAGGAATATGACATCTTTCATTTAACCTTTATTTATACAGATTAGTCTCATTGAGTCACGAGGACTCATTTTCAAGAGAGAGCCTAAACAATGATATACAATAATAAAAAAAAAAAACAATTAAAATAAAAAAGTAGTGTTATATTAATAAGGTGCCAAATAAAACAAGGTAAATACTAAAAAACAAAATTTGCTTGGATTTTTCTAATGAGCGTTTCAAATGTTTAAAATCACTTAAAGAAATCTCGTTTGTATTCAGGAGAAATGAATGAGATTCTTGTTGAAAATGTTTGTTTTAGTTTTAATCTCATACAACTGATGAATTTAAACAAATTAACCTTCTTTTTCAAAACAACGATTGACAGTTTTGATGTTTATGCTTGGCTTTTACAAAATGTTCGCTCTGAGCGACTTTATGGGAGTTTTGTCGTTGAGGAGGTGCAGAATCTCAGGTTTATTCGGGTGGTGTTGGAGTTCTTTTGTTGGCAGGAATTACGCAAAAGTTTTCAATTGTCGTGGAGGCCAGACTTTTTTTAATGGTAATAAGGTTCCAGGTTTTTGTTTAGCTGCTGATCATTTATGTTTCGAATCCTTTATTCAAGCCAAACTGAAGATTTGAAGCGTTGCTTTCAGTTTTCGTTGTATTTTTTCATTCTTTTTTGTTGCTAAAAATAACTTTCAAAAACTGTTTCAGCTACATAAAACTCTTTCCAACTTCATCTCGAACAATAAGCACCCTAGATTAAGGCTGACCTTGCTATATCTGCCATATGACATGGGTGTGTGTGTGTGTGTGTGTGTGTGGGGGGGGGTGTTACAATTACCAAACCTATTATGGTATTTCTGGGCAGCCCAGATCAGAGAAGCTGTTTTACTTGACTACCAGGCGGCCCCCAGCATGTGTCACAACTGAGTCCCAGTGGCTTTATATTCCTATAAACTTAGAAATGAACTCAACAAACAGGAAAAATCTTACTAAGCAAACAAAAAAAAAACAACGTTTTCTGAAAAATACAACGATGATCTGGCAAAAAGCACTTGATTATTTGTGGGGACAACAACAACTATCCCAGTTCTCACCCATTATTGGTAACAGTGATTTTCAAGCAGACCCAGGTTTTAAGCTCTGGTCTACCAAGGGTATAGCTAAGGTGTCTGAGCTCTATAGGGGGGGGGGGGGCGGGGTATTTATGCCACTTGAAGAACTTAAAAACAAATGTGATATTCCTACAAAACATTGTTACAAATATCTTCAGGTTCAGAGTTTCATTTTGTCCAAGCAGCAAAATAATCTTGATCCACCCTCTTTGTCTTCATTAGAATATATTACTATTAAACACGATGGAGGACAGGTGCCTCTTCTTTACTCCTTGTTTGTGGACAAGTGTAAAGAATTTTTGAACAATATTGTACAAGCATGGGTAACAGATTTGGGAGAAGCTTTGTCGAGCAAGGAGTGGTCCGAAGCTTGCACTTTGATTCCTACTCAATCTGCCAACATAAACTTCAAATTATCACAATATAAATGGCTAACTAGGCGATATATTACTCCAGTGAAATTACATTATTTCAACCCGAATATTCCTGACGCTTGCATTAAATGCACTTTTCAGAAAGGGTCCTTATTTCATTGTATGTGGGAGTGTCCTTTTAAGAAAGCTGTGTTGGCTGAAATTAGTTGGATGATTGGTGAGGAGATTCCTTTAAATCCTAAAATGTGCATCTTAAATATGTATCCTCAAAAGTTAATGTCAAACAAATTTGAGGTCCCGACTTAATATTTGCTTTTTGGAAGCTAAACGCTGAATTGCATCCTCATGGAAGAAAGAGACATTATGTGGAATTTCACAGTGGATTAAACAAATGGCTTTTTACTTTGCCCCTGAGAAGATCAGCTGTTTTACTAAGAACAAGCTTGATACATTTTGGGAAATCTGGACTTTTTTTTTTTTTTTTTACAATTGGCTTGGCCAAAATGATATTCAACTCGACATGTGGAAAGAGGACTTGTCATAAGGTCATGTGAGAAGACAAACTGGTCTTTATGTTGATAGATTTGTTGGTTGGTGCTTTTTATTTCTCCCTCACCTGTGTTTTTTTATTTATTTATTATTGTCTGGGGTTATATTTATGCATTTGTATAAGAATGGGCATGTTAATGTGCTCTTGTTAAAATCAATAGAGATGTTTAAATTTATATATAAAACTTTCAAAAACTGTTCACCTGCAGGAGACGGGGCTTTTATTATTTATTTTTGAGGCCTGTGACTTTTATTTCTCATTTTCTTGACATTTTTTTAAAGATGAGCTGCACACGGACCTTCCAGATTGTGTAATTGTTGTATTTGTTGTGGATTGAACTGAAAGAATGATCTGTTTGTGGCAGGACTGGGGCGGTCCAGGGAGGCCGGAACGAACAAGACCTCTTCGTGGACGGTTACAGAACCTACTCGGTTTCAAAGACGATGCCAAGAGGGGGTGCGATTAGGTGAAGAAGAGTTTTTTGTTGTTTATTTTTCTGTTTGGAGCTCCTTTAGTTTGCCCACCTGAAAAGTTGCCATTAAATATTAGACCTTTTTAAAAACAGAGGGGTCAAATGTCAGACTTTTCTGATTGTCACAGAAAATATTCAGTCTTGATATTTGGTTTGATCAATATTTAAACAGATAAAAAATACAAAATACAGCAAAGTTTGATAAGATTTTCCAAACAAAATAAGTTTTTTTTTGGGGGGTGGGTGCTAAAAAAGGTTGAATATTTTTAAAACAATAAAGAAACTGAAATGTATAAAATCAGCAAAATGTAAAGAAAGTAACAATTCATCGAAGTAAATGTTTTGTTTTTCATATAATTTTCATTGCTTCTTGAAAATGTGTTGCACTGGTTTTGTTTTATTCGTTTTAAAATATTTTCACTGGTTTTGTTTTATTCATTTTAAAATATTTTTTTGTGCTGCACTCTTGTAATCCTGAGGCCGCAGGTTTGAGCCCAGGAAGGGTGTTAGGTGTAAAACTATCGCTACATCTTTCATGCGAGTTCGCTCGCTGTGGCGACCCCTGCAGAAGGGAACAGCTAGAATAAAAACAACATTTTAAATAGTTTAAATACCTTTAACTTGTGTTTATAATTGTGTAATTGGTGCTAACATGTTGATTAGGCCTGTAGTCAGAGCTGATGTTGATGATTTCTCTTTGCTGCCCCCTGCAGCACCTCCATGCCCAACTTCTACCAGAAAGCTGCCATTCTGCAGAACCAGTGCATGGAGTACCTGAAGAAGGCCGAGGTCTCCATTCAGGCTGTGAGTTCTGCTTCATCTGATCTTTAATTGATCGTTTCCCTGCAGAGGGAAAGTCATCTTGTGTCATTCTGAGGGCTTTTATTTTGAAGCAGCTCATTCTCTGTTGGCGGGAAAAGACAGAAAGAATGAGAGAAATGTTTTGTGGTTGAAAGTGGAGTCACTGGATGCTGCAGCAGAAACCACACGGTTAATTAAAGAGTTTGTTTATCTCTCTGCTGGATCTGCAGAATAATTAAACTTTCAGCACTGTAAAAAAGAACTGGTTGACTCGGCTTCGTTTAGTCTCGTTTTCACAGAAATAAATCACATAAACAAACAGTTCAACTAATTTTTATCAAGTCTGTACAAATGAATCACATGAAGCCGTCTCAAAATGTTACCAGATAATTTGAGCTTTTCTCATCAAAACTTTACAAAAATATATACAAATATGGGTTACTACTATTAAAGGTACATATTGTAAATTGTGAAGTTAAACAGAAAAAAGGTTATCCTGAACAACATCAAACAGTGCAGTTTGAAAGCGTTTACTCCAGTTTTCCAGATATATTAGAAGATTCAGAGCTGCGGGTCTGCAGTCAATGTAAACAACGATCTTTTACTCGCAAAGTTTACTCAACAAATCTGAGCGAAAATACAAAACGCCAGACTGAAATTGTCTGACTTCTCCGTTCCAAACGGCTCTTCTTCAGACGTCGTGTTGACACATTTTCAGTCACTTTAGATGTTCTTGTAGGTAAACAAACACATGTCGCGGTTGGCAGCCATCTTCATTACAAATGTTTAATTTTAAGGACGTTAATCATCAATATGAGGACAAAGTGCAGATTTTTTTTCTTGTTTTTGACCAGTGTTCTTGACGTTGCATTTATTCATTTTTAATAATTACTTCTCCGTATGCTATGTACTTTGCAGGGCAATACCTCGGGAGATGTAGAGTACTACATGGGCAAGGTGAGAGAGACCATCGACTCTCTAAAGTCGTGCGGTATGGAAATGTACCAGACTGGACAGCCTGCAGATAGTGTCTTCAAGAGGTAAAAACAGTTCACCTTTGCACATTTCAGTCATTTATACATCAAAACCTTCGGTTCGTTCAAGAGAAGCATGTCGTGAGCTGTCGGGGCCTCAGGCCTCATCTCGGACTCCAGGCCCACCTCCTGCTCATGAGGCTCCCGGCTCTCACTCCCTCAGAAATAGTAACTATCTCAATAAATCAAGGAAATTCAGTTTACCAGTTGTAATAAATCAAGGCAGGAAAAGATTAGAGTTTACAGCGCTGGCCTCTCCGACACAATTTGATGCTGGCTCAAGGACCGGAAGAAGCAGATGACAATGTTGCCTTACAACTATATATGGCCTAGGCTCCGCCTTCTTCCGGGAGTGCAGTCTACAGTGTTGCCAGGTGTACGATAATTATCGTATTTGTATGACAATTTTGCCCTCTGTACGATCAATAATCCCAAAAAAGGCCAAACATATGATAATTTGACCATTCCGTAAATGTGTGGTTGTAATCGGTTGTCATCAGCCTCTTGCAACTGTCTGTCAGAGGTTTTTGTGAACCCTGAAGGCATCTGTGTCCACAAACAGAAGCGGTTTTCTAAATGTTACCTACGAGTGACGTGTATGCGTTTGCCTCAGAACAATGGCCATAATTGGCTGAATAGTCTGCTGCGCCCGCCCCATGAGTGAGGAAAAGAAAAGAAGAAGAAGAAGCAGAGCCGGTCTGGAAGTGGACCCATCACTACTAGTGCATCAATAGATTTCTTATTTTGGTTATGACGGGTGTACAATAATTCCACTCAAAAGACGATAATTTTATGTCTCTAGTACGATAATCTTACATTTCTCACCTGGCAACACTGGCAGTCTATCAGTGTATCAGAGGGGCGGATCCCATTGGATCTTATGTGAGCTGACGTGTCAGGAAAAATAAAGGGATGTAGAAAAGCCTCTCTGCGTGGTGTGGCGAGTCAATAAAGTAATGACAAATAAATAAAAAGTCTATTCCTTGACGGGTATTGAATCCCTGGGAGACTCTTTTCAAGAGTTGCTGGCCCTGTTTAAACCGGTCAGAACCGGGTCGTAATCTTATTACAATCCGTCTCTGAGCAGATCAAAAACCCAGGGTCACAGTCTAGGTTAACTTTTTCTATCAAGCGTGATCTGACTTTTTTGTTTTTTGTAACTTTCATGCTGTTGAAAACATATAAATTTAATTACAAATATTTCCCCCATAAAACTATACGGAGATCTCTTCAATTGATTTAAAACTTTGTTCTTTTTAAATCTGGTTCAGCTTCTGGCTCTGTTTTTGTCTTGTTTGTCTTTTAGCAAAGGATTTTCCCATTTTTAGCTTTAATCACCATTTTAGCTTCATGCTACATTTAGCTTAAAGATAACCCTTTATGTTTAGACAACTTTTTGCTACTTTTAGCTTTGAGCTAGCATTTTGCTATATTTACCTAGCTTTTTGCTACTTTTAGCTCTGTTTTTTTGCTTTTAGCTAGACTTTGGCTACGTCTACCTTCTAAATAGCCTTTTACTATTTTTATGTAGTTTTTTTTTGCTATTTTAGCTTTTAGCTAGATCATTGCTACTTTTACCTTTTAGCTTGATATTGGCACGTTTAGCTAGCCTTTACCTAATTTTTAGGTTTTAGCTAGCATTTTATGACAGCCTTTTGCTACTTTTAGCAATCATTTACTATGGTACTTTGACCCTCCTGCTGCTCTCAGAACAAAATGACCCATGGGGTCTTAGTTGCCTCATAGGTCATTTTGACCCAAGGGCAGCAGGAGGGTTAAGCTAAAGACAAGAAATAATAACAACAACACAGCAGAACTGCATTCCCTGAACGTAAGGACACAAGTCACACAATAGCTACTTCAGATTTTTATAGCCTTCCACTGCTTTTAGCTAGTGTTCTGCTCCTTTTAGCTCTGACAGCTCAGTTTCAGCTTCTTCAGCATAGGCCTTCAGTACTGCAGTGTTCACTCTGGATTTTGTTTTTTTTTGACTGAAAATGCAGTTACTTTAGTTTTGGTCAGGGCTAAGTGATATGCTAAGGGATATGTTAAGTGATTTGTTAAGTGCATTTGTTAAGTGACATGTAAAGTGATTTATTAGTTAAATGATATGCTAAGTGATATCTTAAGTGATATGTTAAGTGATATGTTAAGCACATTTATTAAGTGATATGTTAAGTGATTGATTAGTTAAGTGATATGT